GAAAGAGGGTTTTGGTGTTTGTCTCGTCTCCTGATCGTCCACTGTTCCTTCCCCGCGGAGTCCTCTGGGTTTTTGGCTCATTATGGGGGGGGGTTCAGTTTTTATCAAAGTAAGCCTGGCTCCAGGGAGGAGACCAGTTTAAAGTCTGCTTCAAGTTCCGGTTCCTACGTCCTGTCTCGGCTACCCTCTTCCACTGAGCCTGCTCATCTGCAACTGATCCTGTCTGCTCCTGTGCGTGACCACCTGGTCATGCTTCTGGTCCCAGTCTGACTCTGAACCCTCCTGGAAGCCTGTGCATGCCTGGAAGTCTGGATCCTGCCACCTGTCTCTGTTCCTGTCTGTTCTGGATCCCTCACCAGGATCAGCTTCCAGCATGACCTCTGGGACTGCAGCACTGGGGACACTCGTGGTCTGGACTGTTAAACCAGGTAAGTGACCAACCCAGATAATCATACAGGTGCTGGTCATAAAATTAGAATATCATGAAAAAGTAGATTGATTTCAGTAATTCCATTTAAAAAGTGAAATTTGTATATTATATTCATACATTACATACAAACTCATATATTTCAGATGTTTATTGTGTTTAATTTTGATGATTACAAATGACAACAAATGAAAATCTCAAATTCATCATATCAGAAAATTAGAATATTGTGAAAAGGTTCAAAATTGATGGCCCCTGGTGCCACACTCTAATCAGCTAATTAACTCAAACCACCTGCAAAAGCCTTTAAATGGTCTTTCAGTCTAGTTCTATAGGCTACACAATCATGGGGAAGACTGCTGACTTGACAGTTGTCCAAAAGACGACCATCGACACCTTGCACAAGGAGGGCAAGACACAAAAGGTCATCGCTAAAGAGGCTGGCTGTTCACAGAGCTCAGTGTCCAAGCACATTAATAGAGAGGCGAAGGGAAGGAAAAGATGTGGTCGAAAAAAGTGTACAAGCAAGAGAGATAACCGCACCCTGGAGAGGATTGTGAAACAAAACCCATTCAAAAATGTGGGGGAGATTCACAAAGAGTGGACTGCAGCTGGAGTGAGTGCTTCAAGAACCACCACACACAGACGTATGAAAGACATGGGTTTCTGCTGTCGCATTCCTTGTGTCAAGCCACTCTTGAACCACAGACAGCGTCAGAAGCGTCTTGCCTGGGCTAAAGAGAAACAGGACTGGACTGCTGGTGAGTGGTCCAAAGTCATGTTCTCTGATGAAAGTAAATTTTGCATTTCCTTTGGAAATCAAGGTCCCAGAGTCTGGAGGAAAAGAAGAGAGGCACTTCATCCACGTTGCTTGAAGTCCAGTATAAAGTTTCCACAGTCAGTGATGGTTTGGGGTGCCATGTCATCTGCTGGTGTTGGTCCATTGTGTTTTCTGAGGTCCAGGGTCAACGCAGCCACATACCAGGAAGTTTTAGAGCACTTCATGCTTCCTGCAGCTGACCAACTTTTTGGAGATGCAGATTTCATTTTCCAACAGGACTTGGCACCTGCACACAGTGCCAAAGCTACCAGTACCTGGTTGAAGGACCATGGTATCCCTGCTCTTAATTGGCCAGCAAACTCTCCTGACCTTAACCCCATAGAAAATCTATGGGGTATTGTGAAGAAGAAGATGCAATACACCAGACCCAACAATTCAGAAGAGCTAAAAGCCACTATTAGAGCAACCTGGGCTATCATAACACCTGAGCAGTGCCACAGACTGATCGACTCCATGCCACGCCGCATTGCTGCAGTAATACAGGCCAAAGGAGGCCCAACTAAATACTGAGTGCTGTACATGCTCATACTTTTCATGTTCATACTTTTCAGTTGGCCAACATTTCTATAAATCCTTTGTTTTTATTGGTCTTCAGTAATATTCTAATTTTCTGATATGATGAATTTGAGATTTTCATTTGTTGTCATTTGTAATCATCAAAATTAAACAAAATAAACATCTGAAATATATGAGTTTGTATGTAATGTATGAATATAATATACAAGTTTCACTTTTTAAATGGAATTACTGAAATCAATCTACTTTTTCATGATATTCTAATTTTATGACCAGCACCTGTATATCAGTTTATCGTGGTCACTTACCTGTGTTTCCTCCCCTAGAGTGACTGAGATTGGGCGGTGCCCCGCTCCCCCTACCTGCAGTGTCCACGAGCCACAGCTCCGCTTTTGTTTTGTTTTTATTTTAATAAACCTTTTGAACTTTCCTACTGACTGTCTCTCCTGAATACTGGGTCCATCTGTCCTCGATTCCTGACAAAAATTCACGTATTAATTATTTTGTAAGTCATATCTGTCCTGAAACGTGTGTATGAAATTCTCAAATTAAAAAACCCTTTTCTTTTTCTCACTGCCTTTCTTGACCTATTAGCTAATGTATGCTCAAAACACTGTTTGAAAAATCATGCCCTTCAAGATGTCATAAGGGAAAATCCATCTGTAGCAACCCATCGGTCAAACTACAGCCTTCTTCTAATGTATAATTCCATTATTATTAGTATGAGAAATCAACATTTACAATTGCTTAAATGAAGGGTTTTGTTTGAAAAAACATTGTTTTCCTGCATTTTTATGCATTCATTTTGTCCAACCTACTGGAATAAAGCTCAACGTTGAAACATTTATTTTTGTTAATGTACAGAACCATCAGTTTGAAAATATTGTCTCTGTCCTAATATTTATTAATTTAAATGCATAATCTAGACAAAAAAAACATTAACATTTTTATCTAAAATATACAAAGCAATTTCATCATTTGACCAATGAACAGTAAAACCAAAAATGAAATACACTTAACGAAAATTTAAGCGTAACACTTTTGTTTTTGCTCCCATTTTTTTATGAGATAAACTTAAAGATCTAAAACTTTTTCCACATACACACTATAACAATTTCCCTCATATTTTTCACAAACCAGTCTAAATCTGTAAAAGTGAGCACTTATGTTTTGCTGAGATAATCCATCCCACCGCACAGGTGTGCCATATCAAGATGCTGATTAGATGCCTTGATTAGAGCACAGGTGTGACATAAACTGGTTTTCTGGGACAGATGGACCCAGTATTAAAGGTGAGACCGAAAGTGGGAAAGTTCAAAACATTTATTTAAACAAAATATAAACGGAACAGAAGCGCAGAGCTGTGGATCTGCGGACCGCAGCGGCTGCAGCAGGGGGGCGGGGCACTGCCCAATCCTGAAACGCTGGAGGGAGCAACACAGGTAAGTGACCACGATCACCCTGACAGGAGATGATTATCCGTGTGAGTCCCTTACCTGTGTAACAGTTCAGTCCATCCTCTCCCAGTAGGGCAGGATCCAGACAATGGATCTGGCAAATGAGCAGAGCCGCCCAGAGAGCGTCCCTCAGTGACCCAATATAAAGGAATAGACGCAGGTGGATAAGATGAGCGATAATTAGGAACCGGGCAGGGTTAGGCAGGTGAGTGACATGAGTAATTAAGGTCAGCTATCAGGGCAGATCATGACACCTTCATTATCTTTTGGTGAGTCTGGAAGGGTTTTAAGGAAAACTGTAAATCCTTTAGCAATTACAGAGACATTATGTGTAAGCAGAGGCTTCAGTTTACACACTGAACAACCATGTAAAAATTCATGAATCTCATCAGAAAACCACTCCACTATGTTGTGTGATGTCATCCACTCTAAATCTGTGTTTTAAGCAATGGCATTCCATTCTCCTTGCAATGCTATAGCAGGCACCAGTAACATATACCTTTTTTAACGGTTTTGGTTGTGTTTAAGTTCTTTATTTTAGTTTTCAGTTTCACTTTGATCCATGTTTTTCTTTGTTTTCTGTTTTTACTCTGTTCTGTTTAATTCATATTTTGTGGTGTTTTCTGGATGTATTTGTGTTCTTAGGTACTGTTGTTTGCCCTCTGTTGCCCTCTTGTGTTGGTCTAATTTTCCCTAGTTCCTTTCTAGTCTCCTCTGTTCACACCTGCCCCCAATCTGCTGATTAGCCTGGTCTTTGTTTCTCTCTCCCATGTATGCACCTCCTGCTCAGTTGCTGTTGCTGGTTTTTCATCATTTCTTTTCCCCCTTCTTGTTATGAGTATTCCTTGTTTTCAGTATGTTTGGAATCTGTGAACTTGACACCTTTAACAAATATCAAATCCATCACTTCCTGCCTGGTCCTCCTTTATTGCATGTATTACCTCATAATATCTACATAAGTACTTTAGTGTGCCAGTTCAATATTATTTATATTTTTATATGTATATATATTTTTTTATATCTCCTCAGAGTACCAGTCCCCAACCAAACAGCTTATCAAGACTGTATCTTTTGGTTGGCTGGCTTTTTTTAGTCAGCTTGGTAGTTTAAGTTGTTGTCCAGATTGAGATTTTCTTAGTTGAACTGATTGGAAGGTGTTCATAATTCTTAAGTATTTTTGTTGTTGTTTTTGTATTTTATTTATTTGTCAATATTGATGAAATTGAATTGTATTTATTTTATAGAGTTCCCTCCTCCCTTATCACTTTTTGAAAATGCTTCTTATGATGACTTCTCTTTGAAGGTCAAAAATGCAAATTTGCAGCACTGGAAATGTGTCAAATCCATCCATCCATCCATCCATCCATCCATCCATCCATCCATCCATCCATCCATCCATCCATCCATCCATCCATCCATCCTCTTTTTTTAAGTTGTTTTTTGATTTATTGCTTATATAAAAAGAATTTGGGAGATAAAAAAACAGACTTCTGTTTTGTTTTTGTTTTTTTTGTTTTTTTACTGAAAATCAGTTTTTGTAAAAATATTTACAAATCACTATATAGTTTTAATGAGCAAGACATTGTGCAATATAATTGTTTTAATATTTAACATCCAGGCTACATCTTTGAACTGTCAGTTACATCACATTTAAATGACATTAACCATTTGAGAGTCACAGTGTCATACCACCCCCATCAACACAGAGCATGATATATATAAGACAAAGGTAAATCTAGAACAGTTCACAGGAGAGCAAAACACAGGCTGATGTCTAGTGGGATGGGTTGTTTTTTTTCTGCCAACCCTCTAATCCTTGGTTGTGTTTTTTGCTGTATAATTTTTATTTTAGATCCATTCAAAAATATAACAATGATGTACAGAGAGGGTCTTTTTAGCATAACCTTGAACACCACATTTGTTCGACCTACAAAGTTTTATCTTGCTGGGTTTTACAACATCCCTCATGTTAAGTATTACTTTGTCTTCTTGTGCTTTGTCTACATCATGACTGTGCTTGGCAATGGTTTTCTTCTATCTGTTATCTACCTTGTTAAGACCCTCCATACTCCCAAATACATAATAGTGTTTAACTTGGCTTTTACAGACCTCTGTGGGAGCACAGCTCTTATCCCAAAACTCTTAGACACGTTTTTATTTGACAGGAGGTACATTGTTTATGAGGCTTGTTTAACTTACATGTTCTTTGTCTTATTATTTGGAAGTATTCAATCATGGACGCTTGTCACAATGGCATATGATAGATTAATAGCAATTTGCTTTCCATTAAGATATCACAGCATTATAACCACAAAATCTGTTGTTGCAATGCTGCTGAGTTCTTGGATTGTTATGCTCTGTGTCAACGCAGTATTGGCTGGGTTTATTAATCGCCTGTCTTTCTGTGCATCTGTAGAAATTAAAGCCTTCTTCTGTGATCATGGACCTATATATCAACTGGCCTGTAATGATACATCTTACGGCTATATGATGGCTGCTGTTTGTACTGGCTATGTGTTAGAGAGTGCTGAAGACCAAGTGGCACACTCACACTGACCCCAACTGAAATGAGAAGAAAAAAATCAGCAGAAATAAATTGTTTTACTTCATCTACACAAATAATTTGTTAATTTAAATAAATCAGTCAAGAATAACACAATACCACTCAGTATGGAGTAAAAGCCTTACTGTTGCTCTGATATGGGTAAAACAGGCTGTCTTTGTTAACCTTTTACAGCTGAAAGTGATGTATGTGACAAACTTTTATAAGAGCATTATCAAAGATAAGTAGGTGTTAACAAAAAGCCTCTCACTGAAATAATTTCAGCCAAAGGAGTTAACACAAGACAACAGGGTTTCCTGACCTTTTTGGTAGTGAATGAAAAACGGTTGATTTCTGTTTTTTAATTACTTTCGTTTACATGGTTAGGAAAAAGAGACTATACGTAAATAGGAGAACTTTTCCCAAAAACATTTTTATTATCTTTTCTTTTATTAGTGAGTGCTGGGATCTGGAGGTCTGTCCACTTTCTCCACCAGAGGGCGTACGAGATCTCCTGGAGCCGGGGCTGATTGCACCACATGTTCCTCATCTGCTCATCAGGAGATCCGTACTTAAGGAGGCGGAGGGCTTCACTCCAGTGCCAGAGTGTTTGTCAGAAACGGTTAGCAAGCCTGAGCCAACCAGCCTGTCTGTAACTCTGACCCCCTGAGATCCAAACCTGATCTGTTTTCTCTCCTCTCTGCCCCTCAGATTGAACCTGCCTGAAACCTGAAACTCTGGAGAGTTTTCTCTGCTGGTAATCTGCCTGTCCGTTCTCAGAAGTTCTCTGGAGAACAGTTTCTGTCAAAGATCTGCCTGCCCGCTCTCAGAAGATAACCGGAAACTCAATCAGTGATCTGCCTGCATTCAGTAAGCTCTGCCTCCGCCTCTGCCCTCTGCCTGCCGTCAGCCTCTGGACCCTCAAGGTTCCCCCCCTCTGCAGCTCTGCTCCACTCAAGAACAGGTACAGCCCTGACACACTCTCAACCTGCAACATTCCCTAAACTTCTCTGTCCTCCCCTGCAGTGAACCCACTTGTGACCAGTCAACCACTTCCTGGATCTGTATAACCTGTGTGATTTACAGAACTCTCCCGTGACCAGTCAAGCCTCTACTGAACCTGATCCATTGTTGTTCTTTATTGTAAATAAATCTTTGAACTTTTTTTCTGCCTCCGAGTGTTCTGCATGTGGGTTAGGCAAATTAAGCCGAACATGACAGCAAGGAGCTTTTGCTATTTTAACTAAAGCTTTGCTTAATCTTAGAATTCATTCTAAATAAGTAATGTTCTCAAATCTATCAATATTTTAAGGAATGTTTTCTAGAAAAGAAAACAATCCATCCTTTCCTAGAGTATGACATTACACAAGTTGTGTATGAAAAATCCATTAATGTTGGAATTGCAACTAATATATAGTCGTGTGTTTATATTATCACTACTGCTTACCTTTATTACTGCTGCACTTAAGAAAAGGAAAATGTCTTGAGAGCTGTACTTAACAACATTTTTTGTATATATTCTGTGTGTATAAAATGACGGTCAGTCTAAGTTATATCTATATTTTTCATCGGTTTGACATCATTATGCCCTGTTTGTACAATACAAGGGTTTTATTTTTTCCCCTCTCAATACTATTTGATATTTTTTAGCACATAAAGAACTTGTATTATAAACATGTAATGGATATTGCATTGCAAACCCCTAGGCTGTCAATCAGTGACGCATGGAGGCATCCAAGCCATGCTCAAGAGACAAAATATAAGCAAGAACATTTCAGTGGTGAGTAGTGACTGTTTGCTCTGCTGTGCAGCTAAGAGGACACATCTTCTTTCAAAGAACAATGCCTTTCATTTTTCTTTTTGTTTTGTCTTTTGTAATCTGGTCCTATTAAAGGAAAAATTAATGATCTACAAAGAGGGTCAATTTAATACAATGTTTAACTCCACATTTGTTCGACCTGCAAAGTTCTATCTGGGTGGGTTTTATAACATCCCCCATGTTAAGTATTACTACATCTTCTTGTGCTTTGTGTACATCATTACTGTCCTTGCCAATGGTTTACTCCTTTCTCTTATCTACCTGGAAAAGACTTTCCACACTCCTAGATACATAATAGTGTTTAATCTGGCTCTGACAGATCTGTGTGGGAGCACTGCTCTCATCCCAAAACTCTTGGACACGTTTTTGTTAAACAGGAGATACATTGTTTATGAGGCTTGCTTAAGTTACTTGTTTTTTGTTTTCTTCTTTGGAAGTATGCAATCATGGACGCTTGTTACAATGGCCTATGATAGACTTATTGCAATTTGCCTTCCTTTAAGATACAGTGTCATTGTTACAAGAAAGTCTGTTGTTACAATTCTGCTTTGCTCATGGACTTCTGCACTGATTATCATTGCAATATTGGTTGGTCTTATTAATCGACTCTCTTTTTGTGGCTCTTTAGTTATAAAAAGTTTTTTCTGTGATCATGGAGCCACATTTCGTCTAGCCTGCAATGACACATTTCTAAATTTCGTAATGGCTAATGTTACTTTTGCTCTGGTCATCTGTATCCCTCTTGTGTTGATAGGTGCAACCTATGTTTGCATTTCTATAGCACTGAGTAGAACTGCATCCAGAGAAGAACGACTTAAAGCAATCCGGACTTGTACTTCTCATCTGTCCCTTGTTGCTCTTTTTTTCATACCATATGTTGGAACAAATATAATCACAAAAATTACTGATATTAACCCTAATGTAAGAATCTTAAATAGCAGTTTTTCACATATAGCTCCTTCTCTGCTTAATCCCATTATATATGCTTTGAAAACAGAAGAAGTGATAAATGCTGTTAAGAAGTTGTGCAAAAGAAAAATAACAAAATGGTAAAATGTATCTTCAACTGATTTGTGAATTTGTATTTACATTGACAGATCTGTTGGTCGTCAGTTAAACTGCTTCTGTGGCTTCATATGTATCTTGGGCTGAAGCGGCTGCAGCTTTCCTATTTTTTAATAGAAGACAGGTCGAACTCTGTGTTTCAGACTTCACATAATCATCACTTAACTCATTTGGTTTCAGCCTGTGTTTATTTATTTCACAAGTTATCACTGCTTTTTTAAACTAAGATTTTTGACATAGTTTTATTTTCTGCTTACTTTTCAGTTAAAATCTGTCCCTATATTTAACAACTTTATAAAAATTGTAAATTATTGGTTTGGCTTTTCATGTAAAATATTTGACATTCACAATAGAGTTAGAATTAGTAAAAAGAAAAAGTTGTAAAAAAAAACAATAAATAAATAAACAGGCAAAAATGCAAAAGGTTTTCTGATACCAATACCAAAGAATTTTAAATCTTAGTTCATCTTTTTTTTTGTTAGTTTGTTTGTTTTTTCTACACAAATATGATTATCTATTTCCTGTTTCCCCAATTAGATTGCTAACAATATTTGCTATACAATATTTTTAGCTTTGCTGCTAAGATGCTTTATTGTCGCTATGTAAACCTAATACTCTTTATTGTCCCACAAATGAGGAAATTCACTAAGGGGATGAGTCAAATATACATTGACTGACATATAATTTATGTGTTTTTGGATGCAAAATCTAAGGTAAATATTTTATTTGAAATGACCAACAGAAGGAATGGTTGTGACCTAAAATCAGATATATGCAAGTTTTCAGTAACAAATTATTATTCCAGGAGGGAGGAGGGGCTAATATCGAAGTAATTTGGATTATATTTTATTTTTAACTATTAGGATTTTCTATTAAGGTTTGTTTGAAAGCAGTCCTAGACCCACCTCCTTGGTTTTGATGGATGTGTGGCAGTGTAAATGATGAAAAAATTAAGAAATATGTATTTATCATTTCTTCTTAAAAAAGACTAGTGTCAAACTGATTAGTGTATTAAATTGATGCCCATTAAATTACTTAGATATGTGTTTGACAATTTCTGCATTTATTTCCAGTTTTTAATCAATAAATGACACTTGAAATAAAAATGCACACTTATTTATTTTTTGCATTGTGGAAGTGGTCACCCTCAATAAACCTGGACCATTTTCAATTACAATCTAACTTGGTGATTATTGACCCATAGTTTTCAGACCACATGCCTGTTTTTTTTAGGATAGAGTTGTCCTATACCAAAGCAAAGCTTGAGCTGCAACTTGGCTCTGTTGTATTCTTAACCCTTTTACTGCTGGTCACTTTCCCTCTGTTTTAATCAGAACAGTGCTGGATAGAACTGGACACAGATTTATGTCCCACTAAAATAACTTGACTTCATCTCTCTTTGACTTTTGCTTTTATGCTTGGAGAACTTGAAAGCCTGTTTGGCCCTACATTTCATTAAAGTAAATGAAGAAAAACAGAGGTGGTGATTTTTGGTAGTTCCAGTGAAGACTCCCTGACTGACGTTGAGTCCTTAGCCCTGTATGTCAGACCTTATATTTCAAGTTTAGGGGTTAAAATAGATGCTGGTCTTAAGTTTGAAACCCTCATTAAAATCTGCCATTTTACATTTGACGCAGCTAGTAAAAGTAAAACCTATCCTTTTACATCAGCATTTTGAAACAGTAATCCATGTCTTTGTATCCAGTCAGCTGAACTGCTGTAATGCACTCTATAAGTCTATCAGTGATTTGTGTATTTCCCAGCTTCAGACGGTACAGAATGCTGCTGCATATCTCTTAACAGATACAAGAAAATATGATCATATTTTCCCTATTTAGCCTCTTTATATTCAGTAAATTTTAGAATTTACTTAAAATCCTTTTATTTCCTCCTCTCCCACCCCACCTGTCCAAGCACACCCTCTAGTTTCCTTAGATCAGCTGACCAGTGGTTACTGAGGGCCCTGTCACACCTTGCCATTTTAGACAGCGTATGCTCGACGTCCCAGAATCTTCTAAAACGCTGGCGTACGGCAAACTTTCTATGTATTTTTTCAATTTTGGGCGTATACATAGCATATTCATAACAAATTCAGAACTTATGTCCAACGACAGCCTAACATATGCAGAATGGACAGCAGCCCATGAAATGATGCACAGACATCTTTCTGACTCTAAAGAGGCCTCTTTCTGATTTTTCTAAAGACCCATTTCTTTTACTTGGCTTTTGACACAAACTGAAATGTTAAATTTCTCATTCTGTATTTTTTCCCCCCTTATTTCATTAATGCATTTTTTATTTACCACTTTATTTACTGCTTTATGACAAATCATTTCTATCATGATAGTGTATAGTACTTTGCTACTGTTGGGTGTTTATAGGGATTTATAAATAAATTTGGTATGGTATAATATGCCATGGCCATAACTCTACATGACCTAACCCTCTCATCATCCTCCCTTAACAACTGGTGTCCAAGCTGACCAATCTGGGAATCCCTCCACTTATCTTCCACTGGCCAGACTTTCCTTCAGGACGGTCTCATAGACCAGTGTCACAAAATTTCCTATCAATGTCTCATCATAAGGACATAAAGAAAAAAAACCTCACATTTTGCCTTCCTACATTTAACATTCTAGTATACACTTCATATAAACCAGCTTGTTTAAATATTCTCATATCAGCACATGTGCCGCTTCTGTTTTAGCATAGACAGGACAGCATTGTAGCTCAGTCTCTCCCTATCACCTGCATGCACATCTTCACCAGAATGCTGCTATAGGTTCACCTCACATGAATTGTCTGCGCATACCATGTTTGCTTTTGTTGTGTCTTATCCTAGAAGTCAATCCATAATCAGGGTTCTTGCTCCATCAGCTTTTCATTAGTAAAATTAGAACCTGGATTAAAAAAACTTTCTTACTCTTCCCTCTTCAACTTGGAATTTTCACGGACAATTTAAATTTACTATAACAAAACTAGATATATCTTGTAGAACTTGTTTTTATGCCATACTGTATTAGCTTATGTATTTGAATTTTAATGTATTATTTGTATCATCAATGTTCTTTTTTCTTGTTTTATCTGAACAGGTCACTTGCAAATTAAATCTTTGATCATAATATATATATATCCTCTATCTATATATATATGTATGTATGTGAACAAAATTAAATAATATATATCTTTGGTAACCTATAAAAAAAAAAACACCACAAATGTGTGTGATCTTCTTTATGTTGATTAATAGAATTAAAATGTTTCCAGCTCAAACTTCACATAACTTTTTGACATGTTTTTGTCATTCTAATGAATTCACTAATATGTTTAAAATGTAAAATAGCAGCATTAACATTTTATGTGTCAGTAACTTTCAGTTTTCCTCTGGGACATCCTAGCTTATGATGCAGGATTTAATTTATGTATAAAGTATGTAATAACTAGTTAGATTGTTTAAAATGGTAAAACTTTTTTTTTTATCACAACCAATTTCTTTATGAATGATGTGATGACATAAGAACAATTATATATGACAGCTTCTCTGCATAGTAAAATGATTTACCTCAGAGAACTACTTAATGTCCATACATTTATTTTGAGAATAGAAGTTTGAAATCCATTCATTCATTAAAACTTTGTGATAGAGGTGGGTAGAGAAACTTGAAATTGTCCTAAGTAAGAATAGCAATGCTTTAAATTAATACCACCCAAATTAAGTAAAAAGTGGAGTTTGATAAAATTATTTCTAAAGTACATTTTAAGTCACTACACCTATTTAGGACCATAATCAATTTTCAACCTTTCCCGAAAAGTCATTATAAAAGCTCTACACCAAATCAACCACTAGAGGTCAGTGTTTTAACACGATGCAAATAATAAAGAGAATTTGACTATTTGCAACTTATTCCTGTACTGTGTAACAGTATTCTGGTAAAAATATAAAAATAAAAATAATAACAAAACAATGCTTTTAGTTTCAAAGTATTTTAATCCAGAATGAAATGCACTAATATGAGCATAAAAATTGCAAGTCAAAAAATATAAATGCGCTTCGTTTCTGCATTGATACCTACTTTTACCATAAGCACATGTCAATTATAATTCATAATGCAGAGCTAATTACTTTTTTCATATATTTGTTTGTGATATAATGTTTTATGTTATACTGTAGATCTTAACATCTATTGTTTTTGTTGGTTTTAATCAGCTTAGCATTGAAGTAGGAAAAAGAACATTGTTTTTATAGCCCTTACCCAAACAAGATTCACAAAATATATTGTTTTGGAAGACATACTATGTTTACCGGAATAAAAACAAAGACTTACACAAAATTAGGTGGATTTTTTCTTAAAAGATTTTTTAAACCAAGTTTTTTACTGATGTATTTACGTGCAAGACCAAAATTAGAAACCATACAATGAAAGATGATGATGAATTAAATGCATTTATTTTGTCTTTTTAGTGGAACTTTTCAAAAATATTAAGACAAAGATTGTGTAAGTTGATGACACAAAATACAGATGGATTGACCAAAACTTTATTTTATGAAATAGTTAATAATTTATAGATCAGGTATCTGTTAAGGAATAAAATAGTGCTTTTAAATGAAACCACAAAGTTGGCCAAATAGGACACAAAAATGTTTATTTTAGCAGTGATTATTTTTGTTGTAGCACACCTTTTACGCTATGTAATTCATCATTGTTTCTAAGTCATTTTTGTGCTCTGAAGCCCACAAAGACTAGTTGGGATTATGACTAAATCTTTCCATTAACTTTGTTTTTTCTGAAGATTGCCTGTGCCCTGATTTTAATCTCTTTAGTTGTTAGTGAATAAACAATAGGATTAATGCAAGGAGGCATGCATGAGGCGAGTGAGAGGCTCAGAACTCTTTTATCTGGTTCGACTACTTTAACATAAAATCCAATGCTAAAAATAACAAGCAGAGGAATGTAAAAGATAGCAACAACAATTATATGTTCAATGCATGTGGTCAAAGCTTTCACTCGACGGTCCAAAGATTTCATTTTAAACACAGTCCCCAGGATACACATGTAAGTGAGAAAAATGAAAACAAAAGGTACTCCAAGAAGCAAAACCGAGAGCCATGAAGCTGCAGACCACTGCAATGAGTAATCATTACAAGCAAGTCTAAATACAGGTGCATAGTCACAAAAGTAACTGAACACTCTGACAGAGTTGCAGAAAGACAGGCGCGTCATTGAGCTTGTTGTGAATGTGGACAGTCCGAGACCAAAACACCAGGAAGTGCTGATAATACAGAGCATGCTGCGCACTGTGTTGATTGAATTTTGCCTAAAAGGGAAGCATATAGCAATCAACCTGTCATAGGCCAGTATAGTAACCGCATATGACTCCAGTGTTACAAATGCATAACATACAAACATTTGAACAAGACACGGGTTAAATGGGACAAAATTATCTTTGATAAGAAAAACTTTTATCATGCTGGGAATAATGCAGGTGTTAAGCACTAAATCTATCACTGCCAGGTTGGTGATGGCCAAAAATTTTGGAGTATGCAAACAGTGATTAACAGCAATTATATAGATAAGCAGACTGTTGAACACAACTGAAAGCATGTAAATAAATGCTAGGAAGATGATGTAAGCAGATATGAATGGAAATGACTGAAATCCAATGATGTAGAAGCCTGGTGGGTGAATGATGACAGAGCTGTTTGAAATAGATCTAAAGGTAGACATCACGGTTACCTACAGCCTTTGCTGAAAGACAACGCTCCAGTGTCAATCCCTTATCTGAAAACAGAAAATATAGGATTCATAAGAAAATATAATGTATGAATATACGACAAGATTACAATCCAGCATATGTGGTAACTGTCATGATTAGTCTACCTGATCCCTTCCCTCTTATAGAGCCAGTCCCTCTTCCTCTATTTAAGGCATGTGTTCATATCAGCAGGCAGATACCTCCTAATGTGACCTCTGTGCTGCAACAATACATTGCCTTTTTTACCCCATGAGATCAATTTTATGATACATGCTTAAAAAGAAATTCTGAAACACCTCATTTATTCTAGTAGTTTGGTCTTTTGGGAAAGCAAGACTGTGATTTATTCTGACTAACCTTTGTTGTTGTTGTAACGGAGAGCTAATTATCTGAATGCTGACCTTGTAAACTGAGTAACCAACAGCCCATTGTTATCAAATTGTTTATTTGCAAACTCAGGTGATACAGAAATTAGGTTGGGGAGAAGGGTTGGCTTCTAATTATTAAGTTTGTGTAAATCATTATTGTTTTAATGTTTCAAATTACATTTATATAATTTATTTCATATTGTGCAAATATATTTGCCAATTTCTATTTTTGACATTAAGCTTTAAAAGTCAAAAATGTATTCCATAAAATTGTTCCTCTTTGGCTTTCTGCTAGTACATTTGCTATGTATAAGCTTTTACTACATTTATTTATTTTTTTCTTAAGATATTTTATACCTTATTTGGAGGTGTGACCAGGGACATGTCCATTCTAAACACCAATTTTGCCTAAACCTCCTCTTTTCTCTTTAGATGGTGCTTCAGTTAGGATTTTTTTGTTGTTGCCGTATTCCATCTGTTATGTGAAGTAACTCTGCATCAAGAGTTTAATACTGCTCTTTATTTTGCAGAGATTTAGTATATAGGGTTGCAAACGCCAAGGCTCAGGCCTGTTGTCATGAAGCAGAAAGGTCCTTGGTATGGTTCCCAGGATGGGGCCTTTCTGCATGGAGTTTGAATGTTTTATATGTTCATGTGTGGATTCTATCTGGCTTCCATAATAGACAAAACATGATTATTACTGTTGATTTATTGGATTCTCCAATTATCCTAAGGTATGTATTTCTGCGCATTGTTTTGAATTGAAGAGATTGAATTAACAAATTCTGCAGAGTGGGAGAATAGAGATAGAATGAAGCAGAATTATGAAAAGGGGGTCTTCTCCCATGATCAACTGGTTTTCCTTAGATAGAAAACTTTGTATCAATTTGACTGTATGATCTGGTTGAACTGTAAAGTGCCTTGAGATGACATGTGTTGTGAATTTGGCGCTATATAAATAAACTGAATTGAATGGAAAATGTTAAGAGGGCTCAACTTATTCCTGTTTCTGCTGGAATTATCTCCCTTTTGTTGACATTTAGGATCAGGTGTTTGTTTCCACACTATGTCACAAAGTGGTTCACCAGCTCCCTGTGCTCAGCTTCTTGAACATCTTTGATGTACCCAATGACTGTAAAGTCATCAAAGTATTTCTGCAGGCAACAGGACTCAGTCTGGTATTGCAAATCAGAGGTGTACAGAGTAAAAATGAATAGTGAAAGTACCGTCCTCAGTGGTGCACCTATGCTGCTGACTACTTTATTGCGCTCACCTGAGTTTTCTGGAATTCTTACAAAGTAAGTCAGGCTGACGTGTGTTGTGAATTGGTACCATATAAATAAACTGAATTGAATTGTGTTGGAGAATTCAAAAGACACGATCCTCACAGTGCTGTCTGCCTTGTCTAAATGACAGAGGGTTTGCTGAAGCTAGTGTATGATGAGATCTTACTCAAATTCCACATGTGATGAGCATGATTTTTGGAATGATTCTAGTGCAGTTGTTTAAATGTTTCTGTCCCCTGTACCAATAATTGGCTCAGGAAACAGTACTCATTTATTTTACTTTTGCTTCATGAATTCATTTTGTAGACAAAAGGGTTAAGTGAGATTTTATTTTGAAGGAATGCTTTTCGAAAACTGGACTCTTAAATCCAGAAAGTGTTTGGTCTTGGCATCGAAAAGCATTTGGGGACAAGCTGGTTTTAAATAAACACACTTTTGAGACCTAAAGCATTTGTCCTTCGTAGTATGTAGCAAAAAAGGTATTTTTTAAAGGTTTGTACGTTTAAGATGGACTTAAAGCTGTTGATAAACTTATATAAGAAATCCACTTGTCTGCCTATGCTTCGGGAGAATTACAGCAGTTATTATACTGGTAAGAATCAAGTTTACATATTGATTAGATCCAGTCATATTATTTATCAGAGTTTATTTTTATTGGTAATAAGAATAATAATAACAAACAGGTCTTGAAATTGAGTAAACACCATTTGTCAGTTTAACTTGTTGAAGAGTTGCTAGACGTCTGTTTTTGGGCTATCCGTCGTTCTTTTTGTGCATTTTGAAAACTTGTCATGCAGTCTTTGAAACTCTGAACCTGCTTCTGGCAGGCTCTCCAGTCCTGATGTTCAGCCATGCATTCCTGCACAGTGTAATGCAGCTCAGCGCAGCCAGTGCGGGATATCATCTGCTCAATGGGATCATCCTCGTCATCTTTACGGCTGCGGTCATGGGGTGAAGGATAAGACATTCTGCTTGTAAATATAACAAAGACCCAGGCTGTGAGAAGAAGAAAGAGAAAGATTTCCAATCAGTGAACTATTAAACTCATCAGCTATATGTTTGTCTTTGTAGCATCTTAACATCCTTGTACAATTTCACAAAATAGCAGTTCTTTTCTGATTATGCACCGAATAAGTTCAGAAAATAAGTGCTAAATTTTTGTTGTAGTTATTTTTGTCCTTACTTGAAAAAACATTAGTGTCTGATGACATACACATCAAATACTAAATCCATTTTTAAATGTAAGATGTTTGTTGATCTTTAGCATTTAATTAGTAGTGTACAATTTAGGGAAGGACTAGGCCGTAAAGATAAAATAACCTTTAGGTAATTATATACTCTATGGATAACAGGAAGGCTAAAAGTTGTAGATATTGAACAATAATATATCTTTATCTTTTCTAAATTACATGGTAAATTTACCATTTACCATAAATTACATGTATCAGAACAATGATAACTTGTTTCGAACTAAAATCGCTATACTGATATTAACAACTCATTCCCCGAACCACAAAAGCTACAACACTCTACATTTTGTTCATTACGAATCAAAGTTATGACAACAAGCATTTTGTCTCATTAATTCAGCAACTGACACCGAGTACTGTGTTGGAGAATGAATACGTAAGCGTCATTAATTAATGAATAATAAAAAAATAAATAACAATTGCCTGTTGAGTTTTAGCCGCTCAATCCAACAATGTTATTCACCTTTCTGTAGTGGCGCAGAAAACTTGATTTAAATCAAGCAGAACTTTTCTGCTTTTTCATAACCGACCCGCGATGTCTGTTTAAAGAGGGGGACATATTTAAGCGGAAACCGGAAGTGTTACGTCTAAATGTGTCTGTTCAATTGGTTCCGCTGCGAAGTGAACTTTCGGAAAACGTACTTTTGATCAACAAAACTTTCTAATAGATATATACAAATACAATATCCAAAAAAAAAAAATATTGTTAAAAATATTTACTGTAAAATAGTTTGGAATCTTGGTCTGTCTATCCATTTTCTTATGTATTTTCATCTAAAAATAATGTTACATATCCGTCCAAAATATTCTGCTATATCTATGGAAAAAAAAGTAATATCCTAATCTTTATAAAAATAATAAACAAAACATAAAAACTCACATTAATATATAGTTCATAATACAATTAAATATCTAAAAGGTTTGTTGCTGTTTGTTTAGTGGGTAGATCTGAGGTAAGATTTTATATGATACCTCTTTTAAAACTGTTAAGACAGCATTTATCACCTCATACACTAATGCAACTTACCAGGTCCTTGCTTTTCAAACAATATTTTTTTCTTTCTCAATTTGCAACCTTCTCAATAAACATGTTTATAGCATATTAATGTATTATTTATATTACTGATTTAAAACGGTTTTGCTGATGACTGAGCTACAGACTGCAAAGGATACTGGATTTTTTTATTTTATTTCAGTAATTTCTTCCTATTTCACCGGCCACTAAAAAAAAAACTAAAAAAACTAAAGCTGAACCTAACAATATTTGAAAAGAATTGAATTAATAATAGATTAAGTTAATCATTTGTGATTCAGAAAATAAATCTGCATTATACTGTACTCACCTCATTTGGAAGCATAAGTATTTATGAACATAAATTGATGGTGGTTTACATCACCAAGAAAAATTAACCCTCTACCCCTCTACCTGTGATATAACTCACAACCTGAGGTTTAAAGTTCCCCAGCATTATTGGTTACTTTCCAAGGAAAATTAATAATTCTTTTAAAAGGGAACATCTACCTTTATAGAATGCATTTCCTAAACTAAATAAAATTGCCCCAGATATACAAATTCTTTTTTTCATTCATTTTTTTGATACCCTCTGCATTACAATAAAAAAGACAAATTGAATAGAAATTTTTATTAGTGATCAGAATATACACAATGTAGGAGAAAAAGGAAAACAGTTTAAATAATGGTGCAAAGGGTAAATACTATGGAAACGTTCAGTGCAGTGCAAAAATCTATATGGTGCAAAATGAGGTACAACATTGAGTTGGGTCCTATTTAAAAGGATTATAGAAGGGTAGCATGTTGGTAGAGCAAATATAATGATGCAAATGTTATGTAGAGTCCATTTTGGAGTTCAACAGTTCAGCAATCTGATGGCAGCGGGAAAAAAGCTGATTCGGAACCTGCTGGATCTACAGCAGACTCTGAGGAGCCAGAGTGCAGCAGGTTCCTGAGGGGGACGTGAGGGGTCGCTGATCATTTTACAGACTCAGGACATGCAGCGCTGTGATGAAATGTCTTTTATGGAGGGAAGAGGAGCCCCAATGATCCTCTGTGCTGTCCTCAACACTCTTCTCATGGGTGGGGGCAGGTGGGCTCTCTTCATCCTCCGCAGGAAGTACAAGCGCTTCTGTCCCTCTATATCCACAGCAGTCTAATTCTATACCTGTACTCTAAAAAGGGAGATTAGTAAAGCAGAAAATGTGTTTTGTACTTGACTAAACGTCTCTGCTGGATGGTCTGATTACTCTTTGTAGCTTTCCCTGTGTAAAGTGCTTTCTGACCATTTGAACAACTGTGGATCTAATTTTCCTTTATTGATCACATTCCAAGTTTAGTCGTCTCTGCAAGATACTTCAATTTAACCTTATTTATATTTGCAATAAAACAGCAAGTTCTGATTAAAAGAATAGAAATGGAATGCTAACAATGTTTCCTGTACATCAATTAATCATAGGAAAATGTCAAAAGCCTTCTGACTGGAATCACCAATAAACAAGCCTGGTTCATTATTCTCCTCGAAAAAACTTTGGCGCTTTGTATAAAGTTGTCGTGAAGGAAGTGACTCAACAACAATAATGACATTGGTAATCAACAGTACTCCCTTGGGGGACATTTTGTCACCAAACAGAGCTCAGTGACCCCAGATAAAATGATCCTCTCCTGCCTCTTGACTCCTGGGAGCCCTGCTAATGAGTCCTATTTGTGAAGTCATTACCCAAGGATGCTGGTTAATGACCTCCCTTACAACAAACAAAGCCTTTACTGCTCCAGCTTAAGCCTTATTAATCTCCTCTGCACACATTAGAAGGTTATGAACTTTTGCAATTAAAACAGGAAAAATCATAGGAAGGAACGTAGACAATGTTTTTAAAAAAAAAAGTCACTAGAGTTGTTTCCAAATGGCCAACTTGCGTATTCCTGCCTATAGCAGATATACCTGCAATCTCAACTTGTATTGTTGATCTTCAATGAGTATTCCCCAAAAAGTATAGATTATAAGAACATTTTAAAAAAGAAGAAATTATTTGCTGAAAAAGCAAATAGTAAACAGTTGAATCTAATGTTAAAAACTAAGCAAATAAGGAATTTTATTTGTGTTCTAAATGTCCTTGGATAATGGAAGAAAAATGTAGTCAAAAAAAGCAGAAAACTACTATGGACCAGTTGTGCACCTTTTCAGAATAAGCCAACCTTCCACATTCAAAGACCACATTCAACATATCTGAGAGGTCACAAAAGATTCCAGAACAAAATTTTCACTTGTTTCAATTAAAGCAGATGTTAAAGATTTATGCATAAGAGAGACACTTAGCCAATTTCCACGGCAAAATCACAGCTGAACAAATTTAACTCAATGCTCCATGAGTATACTCATTATAGGGTTTTGTATCTAATAATACTTTTAATAAACTAGAAAAAAAAATAATAATAAGATGTGGTAAATTAATGTACTGATATTGTTAGTAAGACAGGAAGAATTTAGCTAAAGCAGTGTTAAAAAAAGATTAGTAACAGATTAAAGTAATTGCTAAGACCTCCATCTAAAACCACAACTCTCTTTTGTGAACCAATAGTAAAAAAATCTAACTAAAGATGATTAGTATTTGCTAAAATATCTCTGAAGAAAAACATGCTTTTGAAAGTGTTCTGCTTTTTTTTTAAATAATAAATATTTATTCATAAAAAGGGTTTAATCAGGAGAAATTGCATTACAATGAGATGCGATACTTTTTAAGTATGTTAAACGTAAAACAAAATAAATGCAGATACCAAACGTGTTTAATCAAGAAACCACAGGAAGGCAGCAATGAGCAGTTCTAATCACCGATAAATCTGTAGATATGAATAGAAGAGGTAGCATAATACTGAAAAGGTGTTTTTTTTTAAAGCTATTATTAATTATTCAGAAGCATATTTCCTTCAGTGTCAATTTTTAAAGCCTGATGCCAATTAATAATGAACATAAAAAGGAAAACTTTGCCTGAATGTGTTAAAAGTTTCCCTGTAATTGTTAGGATGAAGTTCTGTTATAAAATAAAAGGCTTTTAAAAGTTCAAAGAGTGATAGACAAGCTGTCAGTACTTTATACTTTTGCTTAAAGTTATAACCAGATGGAGAATCAGCAGCTTCTCTTGGGTGAAGGACAACATTAAATATTCACTAAGTAGAGACAGCTTTTTGTCTTTGACTTCTACATGAAAATGTCCTCATTTTTGTTATGCAGGGTTCTGTTTTTCTAAACTGTAGTAATACACAATAAATAACAAGCAATACTTGAAACTATTAATATGTTAATAATAATTCTATATCATTTTTTTGTAAGTTTAATCAGCTTTGTTTCATCGGCTAATTAGAACTGACATTTTCCGCAGGTTTTTCTTCCAGTAACCCTCACACTTGTCACCAAGTAGTCTAGACAACATGCATCCATTCTAAAATTAGATTTTGTATCATCAAGCTTATGTCGATAACTCCCATGGAGTCCAAGCACCTGATGCAAACATGACTTCATGTGTTAAAGTGCTTCCTGATATGAAACTCTGCATAATACTCTAATTATCTTCCTTGTCCCTTCTTATTTACTCCCAGAGTGATATATGTGCAGTCATAAGAAGAACCTCTGTATCTGCGCAAAATACAAACAGGAGACCTGCAGGTAAAATGTGGTATTCCATGAACAAACAAATCAGACAGTTGCTTATGGCCTACAAGCCATATTAGATTCATAGATTAGCAGCAATAAGGATTGTCATTCCAAGAAATACGAGGCCTCAGGGAAAAAATAGCATATATATATATATATATATATATATATATATATATATATATATATATATATATATATATATATATATATATATATATATATATATATATATATATATATATATATATATGTATACCGGTATGTATGAAAAAATCCATTTGCAGTCAGTCTTTGGCCTCCAAGTTATCCACACATGGAGCAAGTTTGTGGGTCAATTCTTTGCATAAGGCAAGGACATTTAGTGCCTGAACTATAAAAAGTTCTTCTAATAAATCTTTTCTCATACCCCTTTTCTTTATCTCTCTGACTCTCCTCTCCCCATATGCTGGGCTCAGTTTAAACTGTTCTTGCTTCCTTACAAAATCACTCAACTGGATAAAGTAATTTACCTGGAAGAACAGAAGTGACAAAGGCGAGCTGATAGAGTTGGAGAAAGGGCACAGCAGATGTCTTTGGCAAACCAATAATTCCTAAAAGAAGGTGTAAAAATATGACTTATGTCGAGAGAAAACTATAACAATGCAGTAGGAACGCTACGAACCAACAATAGAGTCAGGGGTTGCCTATGATTCTTCATGTGCAAAGAAAACGCTGAGAGTTCAAACAACAAAAGGTAGATGAAAATTCTGATGTAATTACACACAGCACTGTTAGTTTTACACAAAGAAAAGATGATCAGACAGGACTTGTGTAGAGAGCTTAATGTTTGAAAAGATTGTTCAAAATGACTGATTTGAGTGCAAACGAGGACAGCAGACACATTTTTCTTTGCAGCCTGGAGAAAATAGCTA